AAATGCGCTTACCTGCATGGTAGCCTTGTGAAGATTGTGAGTTTCCCCTCCCAGCCTTCCTATCCTGGAAAGATCCGGCAGAGGTTGACGAAAGTTCATCTCAGCTCTGAATCCCCATGCAGTGAAAAGCAGAGGGCTTGCAACTTCTGCCTGTAGTAGTTGTCCACATTTCTGCACACTGACATAATCGGCTACCTGTACAAATACAGAGCCTACCATGCTTTTATATTTGAACAGGTACATTGACAGAAAATTTATGGGAGAGAAAAAAATTTGTGTATATATGTATTTTGGTTCTGACTTTGGAAGCATTTAGCATTTCTGCACTGCCAATTGTACTGTCAATTATATAGGTATAAAGTACATCACATGTGACATATTTTTTGGAATATGTAAGAAATTTGAACCAGCCCACAAACTGTCATTTTCCATTGTTTGTGTAAACATAGAAAGTAAACACTGAAATAGATTTGGGAAGAGCAAGGGATTTGATTAAATGGAAATGTTGCTAAGCATAGAACTGTTGAGTAAATTTGCCGCTGTTTCTGCTGTTGTCTTTTTATGTGCTTATAATTTTACATCCCATTTTTAAAATCGGCTAAATTGAATAGGAATAAGATTGTGACTGAAAGAATCCTAATTCTTGAAATATAGTAAATATCTTTAACAAGTAATGTTAAATTCAGCTTTGTGATTTGATTGCTTACTGTAGCAAACCTGGAAATTATGTTTCTAAAGCATTAGTATGCATCATTGAAAAGAACAAAGATTTAATGCTTATGATTCAAAAATGTAAATGTGGCATGAGAAGCATGGATAAGAAAAAAATAGCAAATGAATAAATAATACAAATGAGTTATAATAGTATAAATCATATTTTTATGTATCATTGGAAAAGTATTTTTAAAGATCTTTGCAGCTTGTTCTTATACATAGCCTGCCAAAGGAATAAATACAAATTACGAAATTTAGAATCTACCAAGCTTCCCTTCCATGGGCAGAAGACAATCCATGGGAAATGTGAATCAGTAATCCATGGCTTTCAGTAAATGAAAAGAAATGGGAGCTGTCTTATTCTGCTCATGAACATTTTGAGAATAGTTGCTTACAAGTTCACATTCAATTTATATAAGATTATTAAAATGTAATCATTAATTGCACAGCTTTAACATTGATCATATATAAACAGTAAAACCAAATCCACACTTTGGTTCCCTATGCAAACACAAGTGTTTAATTTGCTCATTTGTGATTCTGAATGATTCTGTCTCTTGGAATCTAGCAGAATTTGTGACTTGATGTCAGTTTAGGATGCATTGTCGATGAGGTATTGCTTTCTTATCATAGAATATAGTTCAGGGACCAGCTCAGTGAAGATATTTTTGCCTGTGCCATTATAATATATATTTCTTTTTTTTCTGGCATTCTCTAGATACGTTGAATTATTATTCTCATAATAACCACTGAATTATGGAAAATGTAGTCAAGCATGTCCAGAGAACTCAAATTTAGGAAGACTGAAAACAATTTCAGTAGTTCTTTAGCATACATACTGTTGGATAATATATATACAGTACAAAGGAAGTTAAGGATGAAGTTTTATAAATTATTTACATTAACACTGGTGGTTTCCATGGTGATACACTTATACTAATGGAATAAGATACTCCAGGGAGCCTGACAATGCATTGTATCTCTTTGTGTACAAATACTCATATTGGTTTATACTGAACTTGTGATTTGATATCCATTTTATATACACTAATAGATAAATAGGATAGCATTCATTGATTCATTTGGAAGATCTCTGTTGAAATTGTGTCAAATTTCTGAGTGAGCTTTCATAAGATGCTTGTAATGGAAGTTAATGGTAAAGCATATTAAACACCTACTATATATGTTAGGATACCTGCAGCCAGATTTCTGACTCCACCCCCCTTCATTCCTATCCGAACTATCTTTTGTGAATTAATTACTTTACATGAGGAATGTTATTGATATGAAACATGTATCAGTTTTTAAAAAAGGAATTCAATCCAAGTATTACTACAATTTTAAAAACAGGTTTATAGTAAAAGAATGAAGGCATATTTAGATTCTTAAATAATTTATAAATATTAGAAGATGAAGCCATGACTGAGACACTATTACTTCTTAGGTAATTGAGAACAAGAATTAAGAAAGGGATTTTATTTATTAATTTTTTTTTGCAGAGAAATATGATTTAAATTATAATCCTAAACACATTTATGTGAAAAAACTCCATTTTCCAACATATGTGATTTATTTCCAATTCATTTCAGTGTGTGTCTGGATTGCAATATAAAAATATATTAGGAAATAGGGGATTCATGGAGCAGAGAAACCAGGAATTTCAGGGAAAAACAGAATTTAAAGTATAATTAGAAAAAAAAAATTAAAAATGCAAGAAAATTTTACCTAGAAGCCAATTAGTAGCTGAATCACGGATGCATGTTCAGAAGTAATCATGTATATGCAAATTAATGGCTTGCTATTTGTAAACTTAGATGAGATGAACAGTGTAGAAATTTGATGAATAAATAAGTAAATAAAATAGTCTCTGACAACCCCTATCCTTCTCTAAAAGGTACAAATCAAAGTCAACAGTAAAAGGGAAAAATGAATAACTCCAAAATATGAGACAGTAAAATATAATATCGTATAGAAGACATTTAAGATGAACTCCTACACTATACAGAAATCTGTCAGTTCAATGGTTACAGAATTTTGTGGCCATGCTGCTAATAGTAAGGTGACCAATCGTCCTCCTTTAGGGAGGACAGTCCTTCTTTTGTAAGTTCTTCCTCTCTCAAAAAGTGTCCTCCTACATGCCCTCCTTTTCGATATTTGAAGACTAATCTGTAAATCTCCATATTCGATCGATACCAAGCTGATCCGTTGCGTGTGATGTGACGTATTTGTATTTGACATGATGATTCATCAAGGCTCAGTACAGTGTGGCAAGACGCGATTATGAGACGCATGCGCTCCGCACAGGATAATTATTTTGAGAGAGTGCGCTGTGCGCAAGAGTGTGCCGCGCGCAAGTGGCTTTGTTTACTTCTTACCGAAACATGACACGGCACACACACACGTGTCCTCCTTCTCATTGTAAAAAAATTGGTCACCTTACTAATAGGACAGCAGAGCGTTTCCAGATCCAGCATATAAGATGTAGAGGATTGGCTGGCTCTTTCTTCTGATTCACCCTTTATTTGTTTTCATTAATAAAATAAGATATATGAACTTGCTGTCCTTCAAATATTGCTAAAGTGCAACTCCCCAGAGCTTCTATCAGCATAGATGATGGTGAAGGATTCTGGGAGTTCTAAATCAGCAACATTTTCAACTTTGCTCCTAAGGCAAAGATTCATCCTAAAATTTTCTGGGCCTATTCCAAGTGAGTTCAACAAAATGTAAAAAAAAACAATAACACAGTAAGACTTAGTGGTAGAATAGAATTGGGGGAATATATAATCATCATCAGATAAATAGTAATATTTACTGGAATTATGTACCACTATAGCAAGGGGAAAGTGGAGTTGATAAGCAACAGCAGTAATAATATAAGCAGCTATGAGATATCAAAGATAAGCTAAAGGAAACGGTGGGTAATAATTATTCTTCCACAAATAAATGGAGTGTCCAAATGGATAGGTCTTATACTATCAATAAAAAGGCACTGCACCACTATTCTGCTTTTCCTTTTCTTAATGACATTTTCTGGCAAGGAAAAAGATGGAAGAAGATTACAAATAATGGAGAGTTAAAAACAATAGATTATAGATCCACCAAAACATGTGAATATAATCAGCCATTTGAGAGTAAATGCTGTGTCTGGAAGCACCAATAAAAAACTTGAAACCATTGGAATCTATGTGCTACAATACAGCTTAGCTGGTTCACAATAAAGTTTTCTTGAGCTGTATAAGGGGGGAAAACATACCCATAAATCAGAACCATGCAAAATTGTATTTCATGCTGAATAGGTGTGGTAAAGTAAGGAAACTTAAGTGGTCATCACTATTTCATCACTATTGAAAGGGCAAAAAGATTTTATCTCTAAAATCAAGTATTGGAAAACATTATTCATAAAATAGCTATGAAAGTTACAGTCTTTACTGGAAAACTAGATATTTTTGAAAGAAGCTTAGTTTTTACTGAAAATTCATCCTATTATGGAATGAAAAAGTGCAGAAAACTATTAATTCATTTTTAATTCATATGATATCTGAAACTAGTTAGTTTAATTTATAAATGGAAGCATCAGGATGATTTTGAAATCAGGAAAAATTAAGATGGGTCCCTATCCCACTACCATTCAATCTACAAAAACTGACTAAACTATCAGCTGACTCTCACTTAAATGCAGGCTGCCTCTTCTATACTAAAGATAAAAGGAAAGTTAAGGTAAGTAGGACAGATTGTGTAATCTAAATTACTGCCACTCTGTGTCCTCCAATATCTGAAGCCGGAAGTGGCCACTTCAGTATTCTTAATAGTTGAACTAGTTCTCTTTGAAATATTCCATTCATGAAAGCAAGAATGTGTTTACATAGCACACATATATAACTTGCCAGAAATCCCCTTTCACAAGAAAAACTAAGGCAAAACCAAACCATATTATGTCTAAATCAGGCCAATAATTTTACAATATTATCAAGCCCTTGTTTTTTTTCTGGTGCTGTGATTCATAGAACAGTTACAAATTCTTTTTCCAAAATAAAACCTGTTTTATAATTATAAAACAAGTTTTATAATTCTTTGGAAATTTCCACCTATACTTGGTGATACAACAGCACAAGGGAGTGATTATGAGATTAGCATATCAAATTTGCCTACATGCATGGGAGAGTTTAATTCATGGGTTCAGGTCAAGGATTGTGTATATATATATGTACATATACACAATATATAAACACAAAATGTACAAAATTAGGAAATATGAATCCATGCTTGAGGAATTCTAGATTACAAAATTCTAGATATTAACAATTTTATTTTAGAAAGAAATGCAAGCTATTTCATAGGAAACAGAAGCTTTCGAGGTTCTTAGCTGATTAACGAGGTGAATACTTCAGGAGACTTTCATAATTTTCTGAAAAATGAATCCAAAACCAAAGTTTCACCCTTTGGTGAAAGCTGACCCTTATTTACAAAACCATCTGTTGTGTAAAATGTTAATATTTTAGATGGAAGGATGAAAACGAGAATTGTATGTAACGAAGATAGGAGCTTCAGATGCCATCAGAGCCAAGCAGGAATTTTTGTTGATTATATTATTCCAAACTGTGCCAATTCATGAAGTTCCAGATGGCTGAAAGCTTCCCAGGGGCAGATCACAGTGATATCTGCAAATGAGACAAAGAAATTTCTGCAACTGATCAAACTATAACAAGGTCATATAAGAAGGGTATCTGTGAGTTGAAACTTCATGCAAAACATCTCATGTTAACATTTTTTCTTAAAATGTAGTTAACTTAATTATTATAGTCTGCGACTAAAACAGTATAACTTCAACACAATAAAAATAAAAATAAAATGGAGTATTATATAACAAGTAAAGCAAAAGATTGCTCTAAGCTAATTTACTTACTAAAACAAATTGTCAATTATTAGAAGAAAGATCAGTAAGAGACTTAATTCAAATGTAATTAAAATTGTTGGCTACTGAAATGATAGTTCTTGGATGATTGATATGAATAAATGAATATAAATTTGTGAATTATCACTGACTTTTACTCAATATTGTGCAATCAGAAAATGACAGTCTTAAAATTGTGCTCTGAGGATCTATAACTTTCTAAACAAGGAAAACTAATCAATTTTGTGGCAAACAGTAATAGCATTCAAGAAGAATTTAGCTGTTCTCTTGGAAGACATTTCTAAAGTGACTTTTTTTTTTATACATTTTTATTGAATATAAATATTAAAAAAGACATACGTAACATATACACAACAAACATTTATACAACATATACACAAAAAGAGTATAATTTCTTCTTAAGCATTTTTTCAGAGTGATTTCTTACTCTTCGGGGTATCTGTTTTAAAATTATAATTTCTTTTTCATTATAGATCACCGTTTCTTCTCTAGATTTCTTATAGGCTTCATCTCGGATTGATTTTTTTAAAGTGACTTTAAAGTGTACATTTACACAGAAAATGGAGGATATGAAATGCAAGGAAGCAGCCCTTAATCTAACACATGCTATCAGTCAGATTAGGAATTGATGGCTATTTTGTTTTATTTCTGGTCTGAAATTTCATTTCTAAAACCATTATAAATTATTTGCCAATTACAAGTCCATTTATTTTCTTTTTGTAGATATCAGCTACGGTATTTCTTTTTTTATTATGGTGTCTCATAAAAGAAGGCAATTAGGAAAAATAGCTAAAGGCATTTCTGTATCCTATCTTTTTATACTACAAAAATCTTTTTGTAGTATGCAGATGTTCTGTTAGAGTCATAAGTCCAGCTCTAGTGAATTATGCCAATTTTTGCATTGTATATATCTCATCTGAAATAGTATACCAAATATGGTACCAATAATCAGGTCTTAGTGACACATTATAATAATTTATTTATTTATTTGTAACAACTGATATAGCTCCCCAAATTTTTTCCACAGACAAATGCAGTAAAACAAGTGTTCTCCTTTATTGGCCTACCAAATTATTAAATAAAGGAATATCATTAACTTTGTGCACTACTAGGCCATTTAGAATACACACATAAAGGTCTCAGTTTTTCCTAGCAAGTGTGGATAAACAAACTTTCATTGGGCTTTTATTTTATTTCCTTTTCATTAATATGGACTGAGAACATTAATCTGGTCAAACAAAAAGCTTGCCAGTAAGGCAGGTTATAATTGGCTGAAATAAAAACTCTTCCAGATCGATCACCTCCTTAATAGGTGAGTGTTGTACTTTCAGGTAAACAGTGTGGAATATATACCTTGGTTACATTTTAATTTTTTCAAAACTATGTGCGATGAAATTTTGCACTGTGATTTCATAATATATTAAATCAGATTCAGTAGCTTCTAGAATAATGGAAAGCTCCCCAAAGGAATTGAGACCATCGATTAAAACACTGTAGCCAGAATTTGAAATAAGTGAACTACATGTATGATTCTAGAAAGGGTAGTCTAGATTTCAAATGAAATAAAGAACGAGATACATTGAAGAACAAGAAGAACATGAAGAACATGAAATTTAACAAAATCCTTAATAATTTAGATTATATTGTGTGGATAGATTCTCAAGAAAGTGATACCACAGATGCATTGATGCCAAATTTAGAAGGTTACATATGTCAAAACTAGTGTTTTAAATTGCATTCAGAAGCTTATTGACATCCAATCTAGGCCTTAAGCACAAGTTTAATACACTATTGGGCATTAGTACCTATAGGAAATAGACTACAACATTTTGTATCTTCTGACTGGAAAAACAGCCTATGTATAGTGCACTGCAGTACTCCATATATGTGCTGATAATGGTATAAATAAGAATTGAGTGAAATACTGTTTTTAAATCAGAGACTTTTCAAAGAGGTGACATGTACATTGATAAAGGATTGATCAAACTGCCAGTTTGTTTCTGGCCTATACAGTGACCTGCACTAGCCAACTGGTTAATTTCTCATAAAGATTCCCGGTGCAAAATTTACTAATTATATGTAGGAGATTAATTAGGTGAATGAACCAAGTCATTATTCTCTGTATTAAATAGTCAGAATATTTAATAACACAATTTTCCTATATTATTTACCTGTTCCAAGTCCTTCCATTCCTGGAATATCATCTCCAAAACTTTGGACAAAGAAAGCAGAGAAAGAAGATGAATGAGAGGTAGGGAGGGTGGGAGAAAATATATATATACAACAATACTTTTTTCCTAATCTAAGAGCAAAATGACAAAAAATGAATATGTAAGAACTCTTTCAACTCTAGGACTTGAATGTGGTTTTCGTTAGTGTGTTACATTTGAATTATCATGTTTTGCCATTCAGTGTTCTGATCTAAAATATAGATTGTCTGGACAAATAGAAGGACAATGTAAATTAAGATGTAATCTATTTCTTGAAATAAATTATATGCTAATGGTTTAGGTCAGAGGAATGAAAGCTTCCTTAAAATGTCTAGTGAACTTTCAGTGTCCCAAGTTGCCTGCCTTAGGAAATAACAGAACAGAATAGAAAATGCTATTTCAATTAAAAAAAAACCAAAGACCAAAGCAAATAAACACAATTCTTGTAGCCCTTTGAAAATATTTCTGACATCATGCCACCCTGATTGACTTTATTAACATAGACATCTATGCACATATCACAGGTGTCTTATCTAAGGCCTAAAATATAAAATAATCAAACATAGAAATATGTTCCATTTAAATATAATTATATATGTACACATTTAATATGTAAACCAATATTCATAGAGGTACTGGTTTTGGCAAGTACAGTAGTTATTCAATTCGATAGTTCAGAAAATTTCATCATTCCATTTTATAAGTAGTCCAAGAATATTATATCTTTAGTTCTGAAAGGGGTACTATGTTGGCTAGCTCTTACCAACTACAGTACACTTATCTATTCCATTTACAATACAATCCTATGTATACATGCTTAGAAATAAATCCCATTATGTATCATGGGGCTTATTCCCTTGCACTTCATTAAGATTACACCAAGGTAGCTGCAGCACTAGTAACTTATATTTTGGTTTGAAATATAGTATACTTTCTATGTATTATCTATATATATATTCACTTAAAAATGAGAATTAACACAAAGAAGATGAAGAAAGAATTAATGGCGGCAGTAAATGAAGGAAGAATACACACCCACACATTCTCACACAAATATATTCATTTACATGCATATTCCCCGTCCTACTAAGAATGTGTATTTTTAGTGCTATTCATATTTATCTGAAACTTCCACTGGACTCAAAAACCTTACTTCTAAGGAGGTATGTACAGGATCATTTATAGTGGAGAATGGAGAATATTAGGTTCATGCCTCTAGTAATTGTTATTACTAAATTCTTATACTCTACTAAGTGTAATTGGATATTATCAAGATGCCAGACAGCCCTGAAGTCTTCGAAAAAGCCAATGACTAGACCAGTTGACAGTTAAGAAAGCTACAAATTAAGTCTTCTGGAAGGAACAAGTTGGAGAAGGCTGTTGCAGAATCTTCAGATACGTAATCATTTGATTTATGGATAATAACGCCTACCCTTTTACTCCTTTCTTAGGAGGCTTGCTCTTGAATTGTCTTGTTTGTCTTTGCTTGAATTTAGGAGGCCCCTTGCGTGGGGTAGTTGGCCCTGTTGACTCTTTTGCATTCAGGTTAGCAGCTGCAGCATTATCAGACATCTTGAGTTACAGTGAGATACTTGGCTTTTTCAGATTCTTCTTTCTAAAAGAGAAAATAATGTTGTTTATAATGTAGAGGAGAGGGTCTTATATAACACTTGATGCCACAAAGATTGAAAATTCTAACTAGTCCAGAGTCATTATGCACTTCAAGCTAGATAGACTAATTAATACTGTTACATAATGCTATTTCTCTCTTTCCTCCCACCCACTTGAAACAGAGGATTTGGTTTTCCTTTTTTTTTTGGTTTCATGTATACATCTGTATTTCTTCTTTATCAGTGATAAAATGACCCCTGAATTAAAAAATGGATAAAATTTTAGAGCAGTCAATATGGATATCCAATATGGATAGCTTATGCCATGGTGATGAATGTGGTCATAGAAATACATTCAAAAGAAAGATACAAAAGATACATTCAAAAGAAATACATTCAGACAAAAAGAGAAGTTATATCTATTTATCTTTTTCATCTCCAATTTATTTTTTCAATATTTAAAAACATTCTCATAAAATAATGCTGCAATGGGTTTAAATTATCTTCAGTGAATTTATGTAAGTCTATTTACTAAATACAGATAAATGTACTAATTAGAGTTCTTTAGCTCAGATAACAATCTGTTCCTATGCAATCTACAGGTTTTATGCTTACATGAATTTAATCCCATCCTCTTCCTCCATATCTGATTCTTTTATTATTTCACATCAGAATAAGACCAGTGCTTGACTTTAACTTTTTCTCTCTCATATATGGAAAGTCACACGCTGCTAATTTCTGGTCCTTATAAGTATTTTGACTTCTATACTTCTTATTTGTTCTTTGCATGTACTCATAGAGATATTTTTTATTTTATTTTATTTTATATCAAATTTATATACCGCCCTTCTCCCTGAGGACTCAGGGCGGTGTACAGCCAAATAAAAACATAGACTACAAATATGAGAGGGAGTGCTATTTTTTTTTAAAAATGAATGCTTATTATCAGACCATAACAGTATATTCTTAATAAAGTCTTGAGTTCTTTTCACATGATCAATTAAAAAAAAATCATCATTCAGAGCACTGATAATATTCATAAATAAAAATTACATCTACAAAACCACAGGGGCACATCTTAGTAGCTAGGTCTTTCACATGGTGGGAATTCGTTTGCATATATATTTAATAGCATATTATTGGTTCATCACACACTCAGCCAGATGTTTAGGTTGAATTTGGCAAACTATCAAATCCTTTTCAAGGGCTTGAGATAGGCAGATACTGATGTTTTATGGTGCTAAAGTTATTGTGGCAGAATGTAAGTTGTTCCAATTGCCTTTTGCAATGGACCAATGGTTGTTTTGTCAGTGCCAACAGTATTCAAATAATGCTCCAGTTTTGGGATTGTACCCAAGGTGCCTATTACTATTGATACTGCCTTTGTTTTTGTTTTTTGCCACAGTCATTCTATTTCCATTTGCAGATCTTTGTATTTTGATATCTTTTCTAGTTCTTTCTCATCTATTCTGCTGTCTTCAGGTACTGCTGTATCCACTATCCAGACTTTATTTTGTCATTCTTATTGACAATAGTTAAGTCTGGTGTGTTATGCAGCAAGTGCTTGTCTGTTTGAATTCTAAAGTCCAAGAGGACTTTAGCTTCTTCAGTTTCTATTACTTTCTATATTTTATGGTCCCACCAGTTGTTGCTTGTAGGCAAATAATATTTCTGGCAGCTCTCCCAATGCACTATTGTTGCTACTTGTTGTTTTATGGTCAGTCTGTGTAATCTTCTTGCAGCAGCTAACCAGGTGGTTTGGTTTCTTCAGCTTCTATCCAAAAGTGGTACTTTCTCTCTGTTGCTGTCTTCTCAATTCTGGTTTTGTATGCATTTGTTCTTAATGTTTGGTCTTTGCCCACCAGAATTGGTCCCTCTTTCTCTTTCTTCAACTTTCCTACTCTAAACCATAGCCAGGTCTTGTTATTATCTGCTTTGCCAGCTAATTGCTATTTATTTAGCCTGGTTTGCCAATTGCACAGTGGCAGATAAGACAGCACTCCAGAGGGTTAATATCATTGCCCAGAGGATCATTGCTTGCCCTCTCCCCTCTTTGGAAGAGCTGCCTTAAGAAAGTTCAAAACATTCTTAAAGATCCATCTCATCCTGGGCACCCTTTTTTTGAACAATTACCATCTGGCAGATGGTACAGGATAATAAAAACAAGGACAAATAGGCTGAAAAACAGCTTCTATCCCAGGGCAGTAACTATACTGAATTCTACTGTATAGTGCAATATTAATGCAAAATTGGTTTTCAATTCACTTGTATAGAATGTGAAGGATGTGTGTTTGCATTTTATTTTTATAATTATAATGTACACTGAAGATGGCAATGACAATAAAGTAAACTAACTAACTAACTAATTTTTTAATGTACTGGCCATGTAATATTTTATCTTCCCATGTTTATTTTTTATTCTTCTTTTTCTTCTTCTTATTAACTGACATGTAGAAGGGGAAGAAGAAGAGTGTCACAGTTGGACAAATCAGATATTCTAGCAATTGTTTGTCAAGTGAGAGCATTTATTTCAACATATAATCTCCATACCCATTTGTGTATTTTGATTGACACAGCATAGATTTTATCAATACATAGGCCAAAGTAATACCATGAAAATGTAGCAAACTTCATACAATTTAGGTTTACATCTCCTATAACTATAAGCTGAAGAGCCATATTTGGAATTACATTTTGCATGTAGACATATCATTTGTATAAAATTCTAAGTTTGTTCACTCAGAAAAAAGTTATATTGAATTCAATGGGGATTTAATCAGGAAGTAATATTATATTTTCTTTGGAAGTCCCATTAAAAGCAGTGTGAGTGTAAATATGTATGCATATTTGTGTGAGTAAATAGACATTGGATCATTGTTGCGTGTTGGACTAGCAATTACTTTTCCTCCCAGGAACATTTTAGTTATATATTATATTTTGCTTTAAGAACCCATTCCTGATTTAAGGAATATGTAATTCTTGCAAACAGGAGGGTGAGGAGAAATCATTAACCAGGCTGACAGTGACATTTATAGCAGAAATTTGGTTAAACTCCTGATTTCCTGACTGCCTTTATAGGGCCAATTGTATAAGCACAAACTGATCTCAAGATCTACACAATTTTTTCTTTGTATGTGAACATGCTATTTAAAGAAATGGCAAAAAATGGGAACAATTAAAGTGAACTTATTTTGCTTGTCTTCACATGAAAAACAGTGGGTAAGAAAAAACTTCATCCTTAACAAAAGGTTCTCACATTCTACTTCAAGTCATATAACAATCATATCCTACTAAAACCAGAAACATCAATGAGTTCTCTATAATGACCTTGCGTAATTATAAGTCAATGAATTTGTTTCTAGATGGCTTTCATCAAATCAGACTACACTTTTTTTATATACTTCAAATAAATTATTTAGGAGTTCAACATCGCAGTAATACATCCGGTGCCTAACACTAACTGAACATTTTCTCCACTTGCCTACCAATTTATGTTTGGATTTTTTTCTCTCAATGTCTTAACCAAAAAATTATTTACTATCTTACCTTACTCAAGAAATGTCCAAAGTGATTCTTCTAATAAAATTGCTCACAGTTCTTGGGAAAAGTAATCCTATGATGACCAAATCAGTGTAGGCAATAGCAGTGAAGTAAAACAAAGACTACTGTGCAAATGATGTTCTTTCTTTCCCACTTTTCTCTGCCCTTCTCAACATGAAACTCAATGTAATTGCCTCTGACATATCCTTGTTTAGCATAGGAGTCAATCCATCTTGTTTGCGTTGATGGCTAATTTTATCTAGTTTAATCTGTCCCTAGAAGGTTCTTATCATGATGCTATCAGATGGCAACCTACTTCTATGTTAATCTCTGTCCTTCTTTCCTCCTATTTGTTGACTTGTAAACAGGAATGCTTCTATATTAATTGGATTTAGTTTCTTCCTGATCCATTCCTTTTTCAGCTTTAATCTCTGATCCCTTAGGAAAGGCAAAATAGATGCTTGGGCTAATAGATTTAACAAGGCTAGAAAAAACACTTTACAGATACTTCTGATCTTTTTTTATTTATTGCCTTGTAAAAACTGCTCATCCAGCCCCCCAATTCAATAGGAACATTTTGCTGGTTCATGGAAAGATCAACTGGTATTATTTTCTTACATAATTTTTATTAAAGAAATAAAGATAAACATGAAAAAAAAATTAGAAGAAACATAGGAAAGATAAAAAGTGTTGAAAACAATAGAGCAAAGAAAAAGAAAAAAATACTTAAAGAAGGGATTTCCAAACTTCTTTACAGCAGTTATAGGCGATATCACTTCTTCATAAATTATGTAATTACATAAATTACATAATATAGTTCCTTTCTTCCCATACACAGCCATGGTAAATTCAGAAATCACCAGTTCATTTTTATCCATTTTCATGAAAAAGTCCATAAGGGAAAGAGCAACTGCTACTTAACTATGGAAGCTTATGTCTTTTTAAAGTATTCCCAAATTACTACATCAGATGCAAGGCTTATGCTTGCCCAATGTAGTATGATTTGTGCCACATGTTTCTTGAAATTTAGACTTCAAAACTGATTTGACGAGTGAGTTTCTGAATTTTTTTCCACAAGTTCATACATTTCTTCCTTGAAATTAACAAGGGTTTTGCTAGCTTCCTCTTTTAACTCAAGTACTGTACCAAAAAAATAATAAAAGGCTGATATTTTCTTTTTATGGGTCTATTTGTAGATGCCCTAGAGTAGACAGGGATGAAGGGGAGTCACCTAAAGGCGTGCATACAAATGTTCTATCTATGGAAAGGACAGAAAAGAAAGCAATTGTTATTTGCTCTCCTGGCATGGGTAGGAGGGATAAAGAATCAGGTATCATCAACTGTGGTCAGCTGGTCCAGAGACAATAGTGGGTGATCATTATAATTGGAGTAGAGAAACGGGCTGAAAATGAAAGGCAATTTTTAAGCTGGATTCATTTCCCACCAGTTTTTAGCCAGGAGTCATAAAGCTACACAATGGAAAAACCTTGAGAGAACTTATATTTCAAAGCCCAAGACAATTGGGAATTTTAAAATCTTCATAGGCTGCCCGAAAGACACAGTTTTTCAAAAGCGTAATAACTAAAGAAATAAAAAGCTGTAACAATGACATTAATAATTATTTTGACCAGCTCTTGATCATTTCAAGTGTTGCTGTTTAGCTTTCTAAAGAAGCACAAGATTGAGGAAAGTTTTTATTTGGCTAAAAGAGCAAAAGCAAACAACAAAACTAATGGAAAATCATATCTAAGAACCATTTAGAGAAAAATACATGCTTACGTGTTAGAGAGTTTTCCTATTGTCAAATAATATGTTCCACATCCAAAAGGTGAGCGACGTGACTAAAACTGCTACATATACTGAGCTACTAATATGCATGTTACAACACCTACCATACTTTTCTTTTCTTAGGCACTGGACTGAACCCCCACCCCCCCCATACACTAAAGGATTAACTTTTGAATCCTTTCAGGTGGACTATATTAGGACTAACATTCAAATTCCTTGCTTGGATTGTTTGATCTGTGTTAGCTTTGATTGATTTTCTCATAATTTTTTTCATGCCTATTTGTCGAATAGTCCAGTTTAAAGAAAATTTGCAAGCTGTATTTGAGATTTATTTATTTAGAATAAATAACATAGCCACCCATCTTCTAACTAATTCTGGGCATCTCTCAATTAAAAGTTAAGACAACATATCAAACAGAAAAACAACAAAGATCTGGAGCCATGTCAACCTTCCAATATGCAATTATTCTGTCTTATTCCAGCACCTGGGGAAAAAGCCAGGTCTTCAAAGCTTTAAGGAAGGCTAGGAGAGTAGACGCTGCCAAATTTTAGGGGGCAAGAGTGTTTTACAGGGCAAGGGTTTCCACAGAAAAGGCATGCTTCCTAGCTCTCATCAGATGGCAATATTTAGGGGAAGGGACTAGGAGTATGCCCACTATATCTGGTCTGATAGGACAGATAGGTGTCCTTAGGGAAAGGCAATCCTGCAGATAGCTTGGCCCTGTGCCATATACAGGACTTTAAAGGTGATGACCTACACCTTGAATTGCACCCAGGAAGAATCTGGAAGCCAGTGTAGACTTCACCTGAGGTAGGAGTGGGCTGTTATTTGCAAAATATCTTCCAGTTTTATTTTATCTTTGTCAAATTTCACTGTAATAAAGAATTTAACAATATTCAAACAGTCTATAAGCCATTTTGTTCAAGCTAAGCAGCAAGGACAAAATTAACTTTTCTGTGATATAAATTCTGGCTATCATTTCTTCCCTCTTCATTAGTTACATTTTTGAGAGTCAACCTAATATTTATAGCATTTATGGAGGATGAAGAAATTGCAGTTTCTTTGTAAGTGTGTGCTTGTATATAGCAAGCACTGGAAGTGTCTCACTGCTGTGTGACCAAAACAATTATTAAGACCATGATATTGGCAGATATGTACTGTAAGAGTCTGTTTCAATTATTAAGAAATTACACAGTTATTGTCTTTTACCACCTACAAATTTGCTTTCTTCAGGGACAGCCTAATACATTCTGATGACTGAAACTAAAATCAAGCTCATGGAATTTTTCATTTGAAAAGGTGGATTTAGTTCATCCTGTTCTATCCAGGAATTTAAAGCATCCCTGATAGATAACTGATAAACTCATCAGAACATTTGAGTTGGAAGGGGAATTATTTAATTTATATAATCATGTGTCTCACATATGTGACTCATACAGGTTACAATAAAATAGATGAAAATAAATAAAATACATAATATAAAATAAAAACACATGGCAGCTGAGCTTCATAAAATAACTATGAACAAAGTCAAGAGATGGGCTCTGTCCCACCCCTGGGCCTCTGCTAGGCAGAAAACCAAATTTTTAGGGCCTTCTGAAAAGTCAGCAGGGCCAGGACTAACCTAATCTCAAAAGGAATGGTGTTAAACAGGGTGGGCATCATTGCAGAAAGGGCCCTCATTTTAAGCCCTGCCAGCTGACATTCCTTAGCTAATGGCACCCGGAACATGCTCTGCCTGCTGGACCAGATGGGACAGGTAAAAACAATTGGAGAGAAATGGTCTCATAGTTACCCAGTCTTTAGCCCTGAAGGATTTTAAAGGTACTACCAGCACTTGCAATTGCCCCCAGCAGAAAGCCAATGCAGTTCATGGAGTAGTGGTGTCATACAGTATATTGCCATTAACTGCTTGCACTGCCGCATTCTGCACCAGCTGAAGCTCCCAAACACTCTTTAAGGCAGCCACATGCATGGCATGTTGCAATTGTTCAACCTGGAGGTCTAGAGGGCTTGAGTGACCATTAGCAAGGCCCCCAGTGCAGGAGAGGGTACAACTGAGCATAAGTCAAAGCTGTGGAAACATCAGATATTTATTTGGAGAAGGCCAGCAGACTGTAACCATCCGAATGCAGATCCAGGAAGTAGGTGCAATTCAGGTACATAATGGACTTATTCCAAGGCCCTTTAGCCATGGCTACCACCTGCCCTTCAATCAGAAGGTGGGAATTGAAGAAAAATCCTAAATTGTGTACCAGTTAAATTAGAGGAAACAATCTCCTTTGAGTGGAAGTCTTCACATTCTGGGGGAATGCCCTAAAATCCACAGTTACTAGGTCCTCCATTGGTTGATCAAAGCTTGTTCTTTCCCATCTAAACCTCTCCTCCCTCCAGATAACTTGGAAAAGACCTCACCAGGCACCAGCCCAGGGTAGAGATGTAAAGCTTCATATTACCATCTCCCGCTATGCCCAACCATATTTCATTTATCCATGCCAAGTTGGCCTTAACCACGCTATCAAATCATGGATGTAGGATTCTTATTATATACCAGTCTGGCATTTAGTACTAGCAACAGCAGCATGTTACCAGTATTTTTAGATAATAATGTAGGTTAGATTGATTTATACAGAAGCTGAAATCTGCTGTAATAAAATGGCAGTTTGCAAGACAAGGAGCTTGCTGATGATTAATTATATGGGAGAAAGGAAGCTTAAAATAGTTGTTGTTCAAAATCTGAGTTTTACTTAGTTAGATGGTTGTTCCCATACCCAGAGTTTTCTCCAGGTAGCAGTCTGACTAGCTCACATGGTAAACACACATGGTACACATGACATTTTTTTTTAAAAGTACCTATTGTTTCTTACTGAAGTTGTAAAATCTAAAAATGTTCATTAATAAAAATAGTCTTAACAAATCAACATAATTTATAATGCTATGTATTCCATATTTGTCTTCTTTATTTATCAATCTTCGTCCCAGTTTTGTTTATTAATGTATTTTATGAAGACAATGTACATGAGTTTTACTGGCCAGTAAAAATAATTCAAATTAGAAGAAAATGCAAACCTCATATTGCAATTACAGGCACTAAATTTTAAGATAACATAGTATTCAAAATAATTTTAAAATGCAAAGAATTGAAAGGAAATTACTGAAGCAATATGAAGGAATTAAGAAACAAGAAATATTTTCCATACAAGATTTAATAGGAAGAGAATAAGATTAAAATACTGTATACAGCAAGAAAAGATAATAAATTGAAGTTCTATATATGTCTATTTGAAAGTATGTTCTATTAAAATCAATAGATCTTTCCACTTTATTTAGAGAGGTAAAAGACTGCAGTGTGATTCTTACCCTCCATAATGCTTTT